TTTGTGGTCTAGCATCCCTGTGAGTGCTCCCAGGCTAAAGCACTCATATGGAAAAGTCACTTGATCCAGGACAACAGTAGCTGTGGCACAGTTTTATTGCAGTGTAGACCTATTCACTGATAAGACTAGGTACAGTACTGGGTCTATGTTTTTTTCTGCTGTGGGGATCAACTCCATGCACAGAAGCTACTTTTTCTCTCTTTGCAATTCTTTTCTCTCCTCTCTTTGTGTTTGTCTTGCTTTGTCTTTGAGGCAATGAACCAGATCAGACTTTAACAATTATAGCAACAATGACAGCTATCACCCATATCAATTAATTTCTTGTTTCCTCAAAAAAAATAAGGAAAGTTAAGACTGTATCATGATTGTCAAACACAGGAGTCGAGGAGAGTTCTTTAAACTCTCTTGAATATATGGGAACACAGTGTTGTTAAAATTACATTTTATATATGGTAACTTTTTCCCCTTCTTTTCACTATCTTTAATTAAAGCTTTAACGGATTTAATTGTTTGCTTGTAAGGTGGATGAAGTCTTTGTTTACCAAAGACAGGACCTTATTTAAAACTGTTTAATGGTAGACAGACACCAGTGTTCCCTGTAAGCTGAGTGCTTGAGTGGTCATCCAAGAGACATTCAGGTGCTGCCAGCAGATTAGTAGAGCGTCCACAGTGGTTGCAATTGTTTCTGTTGGTGGTACACATCTACACTTGCCTCCATGGATGTAACAAAATGTATTCCACATACAGATGGAAACAATTAGATGGCACACTGACTGACGCCTTTAAGTCTTTGAGCCAATACAGTCTATCTAAATGAAAAACAATAGAATTGTAGTGACCATGAAACTCAAATAAAAAAAGTTTTATTAGAGAATGGAGTGCTGCTTACAAGTTGCCACAATACTTGGATAATCATCCAAGTGGGATGTCATCCAAGCCCACTGCAAGCTTTATTGCACTGTATGCTTTAAAACAATTAACTTAAAACAGTGTTTTCTTCATTTCTTTCATGATATAGTATAGTGACAATTTCTTTCTGTTGTACATATTAAATGCTTATACTGCTACCAAAAGAGAGAATATCCTGTGCATATTCAGCCTCTAAAGTTTCTTTTGCTGAGTCATGTCAGCTGACCAGTCACACATGAATACATGTCAGTTTGTATCTGATCAGGAGCACTCAACCTAATGTGGCTAGTTGTTGAACAAAAATGTGATGTTATTTTTATATGGATTTAGTTATCCATATTAAATCACGTGCACTGCAAATGTTTAGGAACAAAAATGATTGACACACAACATATGTATTCTCTTAACCGCTTTAGTTTACCTTAGAAAGAGAAAACATTATTAGAGTCTATGTTTCAGATATGAGTTTTTTTCTGACTGTGGATAACAAATTAATGTCCTCTATTTTATTCTGCTACTCAGTGAATGCTTTATGGTTTGTCTCTCACATTTTCTTTTGTTTAGTATGATATATTCTTTCCTCCCCCCTTAGGGTTTGCAGCCTACAAAACAGGGATCTTGATTCTACTGCCCTTAGAATAAATCCACATTAATTCTTGCCAGCATGTGACTCTTAAAGTCACCAGTTTTGCCTCCAGTTGTATTTTACAAATTAGCAAATAAGGTCTATCATTATTACTCCCCACTGACTACTTCTTCAGAAAGTTTACAGCTAGGAGAAAAAACACACTGCAAAAAAGTTTCAGGCATCAGTACACACTGCTTGTTGCTTAAATCTGTTGCGAACACACTTGGTCAGATTATGGAGCTAAAAGGAAATGGGAACTGATATTGCTGTGTGGTTTCTTCCATGTTTGAGGCATGACCCTTATCTTCGTCTTTAAAAGAATTCATTTTTTCTAAAGCTTGCCTAGTCTCAAACTCATTTATAATTAGGGATGTTAAAATGCAGTGGGGTTTGGTAAACATTTTCAGCAACTACAAGTTTACACATGGGGAGGGAGATGCCTCCACGGAAACTGGTATGTATGGAGTGCTGGCTTTTAAGTCGGCTCCCCACAAATACCAGTTCCCGCCTGCTCTCCCGCTATCCGCACGAGGGGGGGAGGAAGGGGAAAGAGGTATTGTGTGTAAGTTTGAAGGTTAACCAATGAGCCCAGGTTCATTAATTAACCATTTAAATGTGAACACTGTCACATACCTACTTATCATATTTATATATGCTAGACATATACTACTGTATTACTATTTTTTAAATACACAGTTGGGGAGGGTTGCTCAAAAGGTACTGTTTTAGCATGGGATATGAGTATAGGTTAAGGTCTCTTAGGTTCTTTAACATTTTTCTATCTCAATAGAAAAGAAGTTGCCATAAAAAAAGGATAGTTTGGAAGACAGAAGGTAGCCAAAAGAGAAAAGAACAAGATACAAGAGGATGAAGCAGATGTAAAAGGAAACACCATTACAGAGATTGTAAAAGAAACAAAATATTAAGGATGTGGAAAAGACTCTCATGATCTTAGAAGTATGCTTTTTCCTGTGTAAACCTTGCAAATAATAACTGTTATCCAAAGGGTCATAGAATCTGAAGGAACAACCTTTATTTGCATGAGTACATGATGATAAAGAACAATTATTTCTTTGCAAAAGTGAAACTCCAAGTTCTATATTTCTCTGTATTTGTTGAAATGGAAAATTCAGCCTCTTTTGAATGCTCTGATAATTATCTTGTGTACATTAACTGTTATGATAAATTTCTGAGAGACAACTGTTTAATAGCCATGTTATACTTCCGTGAAGACATACTGCCTGTTACTTGAAAAATATTTTTCACCTTTAATCTGAGATACTCAGCAAGTATGACAAACTTTAATGAATTAAGCCTATCGATTAAGATTGTTTAATGGACATTGCTGTGAAGGTAGGAATGATTATCAATTTCTACTTACAGAAGGGTAAATTGAAACACAGAGAGGTGATGCTATTTGCCCAAGCACACACAAGAAGTCTATGCAACAGACAAAAGTAGAGTCTATTCTAGTATCTGATGCTTCTGGATTTACTGCTGATTTACAAAATTGTGAAAGACCATCAGACCCAGGGTTTCCCAGTTCTTAGTTCAGGACTTTGACCAAAAGATCACACTGCCTCCTAGGCTATGTGTACACTCGCAGCTTCTTGCACAAGAACATCTTGCGCAAGTGTTCTTGTGCAAGAACTTTTGCGCAAGAAAACGTCCACGATAAGCTGACCAGAACCTGAAAATGTGTGATGAGGACACTGAGTTGACAAAGAAAACATACTTGTATATTAGGGTTGCCAGATGGTCTCCCAAAAAATACCGGACAGCTGGTATTTTTTGGTCGAGCAAAAAAAAAAAAGAACGTGGGATTTTTTTGGCAAAGTAGGACAAGAAGGACAATATTTTTCAAAGGAGAACATAATTATTGGAGGACAAGCCCCTCAAAAGGACATCTGGTCACCTTAATTATGAGCAAGTCAGATGTTAAACTATTTTATTTGTTTACCATTATTTAACATTTATATTGTTTACTCATTCACTTTCCCAAGAATTGGAGTCTGATGTACTTGGGAAGAGCATCTATTAAAATCTGTGAATACCACATAGTTATTCATAAACATTGTTTTTTCAGGAGTTTTGCTTCAATACTTTTATTGTATCATTAGTCTAGTTTTAATTTTTTTTCCTTCCTGTGACTTGCATGAATTATGGGATGCTTCATAGATATCCTCTATACAATACTAAATTGGCCTACTTCAGGAAAACAAATGTAGCAATTTAATAGCTATGTACAAATGCCTAATAAATTACATGAACTAAGGAAAACTGCAGTACTTGAATAGATATGACCTTATAGCAGATGTTAGTCATGTCCCATGTAGGTTTTCTTTGTACTAAAAAGGTAAAGAAAAGTTTTCCAAATTCAGAGGTTCATAAATTCCCAGAAACACAGAGAAACCTAATTTCTGAGGGGCTAGTGCAATGGTATTTCAGGTTAAGAAAAAATGCAAGCATATGCCTTTCCAAGCCTACTCCACAGCAAGGCTGAATATTATGTTCCTAAGGCTGCAATGAGCCTCACCTGGCCCTAGGGCATTTGTTGCAGGACCTAGCTCTCTCCTGTGATTTGCTTTGGGGTTAAACCAAGGAATCAAAATAATGATAAAGACCTTCTCGGAAAAGGATATTGCACATCTAAGGAATGACAGTCACTGTTGTAGGGCTCTGATGCTTCAAAACTGAGATGCAACTGCTAGCTTTAGATAAGGATTTTGCACATCTAAGGAATGACAGTCGCTGTTGTAGAGCTCTGATGCTTCAAAACTGAGATGCAACTGCTAGCTTTTGTAAGCACACCTGAACTCAGTGGGAGGGCCCTTGATTTCAATAAGGTCCTGCCCAGGTACCTCTCTAGATGCAGGAGCCAGGCGTAAAGCCAGGAAGTGGGTTTTGCCCATGAAAGCTCATGATACTATATATATCTGTTAATCTCTCACGTGCCACAGGACTGGTTTTTTTTAAATTACAGAGTAACACAGCTACCTCTCCCACACTGATTATGTTAGAGATACTTACAACTTGCCTCAATAGCCCATTATGGGCCTGCACAGTGTGTGTGTGGTTGGAGGGGGGTGGGGAGTGTTTAGCTCTATTTTCGCGGGAACAAAAGTAACACACCTGGGCGCTACTCTACTTACTCTTCCGCGGGTCTAACGTAACACACCTGCGCGCCGCCTCTTACTCAGTCTTTGCCTCGGTGCTGAGGCGATGTTGCCGCCGGTTGCGCGGTGGAGCTGAGGCTGCAGGTGCCATTCAGCTCCCGATTGCTGAGGGGCACCTACCGCCGCCCGGGACCTGCGTGCGGCTGATGAAGGGCGGGGGCGGGGGCTCCCCCGGGCAGGCGCTTGGGACTTTAGCTGGCGCGGGATAGGGAGGGGGCCGCCAACTTCCCGCACCGGAGGGACCGGACATTTGCGGCAGGTCCTCCGGTCGGGAAAACTGGCAGCCCCCTTCCCTCCCCGTCCAGACTCCGCCCATGCCCCGAACAAGCCTCCCTGCAGGGAGGGCCTCCACCCCCGCCCGGGGAGGGGGGGGCCAAGCTGGGGGCCCCAGTTCTCTCACTGGCGGCGCAGGCAGCAGCCCCTCTGCACGGGCGGTTCTGGGAGCTGCCCGCGGTCCCGGCGCCAGTGAGCGGCTCTGGGCTCGGAAGCCAGTCGGCAGGGGCGCGCCCGGGGAGGCGCAGACGAGACTCCCAGCGGGACCATTGGCTGCTCCCGGAGCTTGTCCCGAGCCCGGCGATGGCGCAGAGCCGGCTGCCGAGCCCTGCTCAGCAGGTAACGCGACGCGGGCAGCGAGAGGCAGTGTCGCTACTTTGCTAGAAACATCCCGCCTCGCCTGTTTCTTTGCTGGCGGAGGCAGGCGGTGCCGAGCTCAGCCGCCGCCGTAGACCAGAACTTGCGGCTGGGGTTTCACGTTGCTGCCTCTTGAGGACTCGGCACTTAAGGCAGGGGTGTCCAAACTTTTTTCAAAGAGGGCCAGATTTGAAGAAGTGAACATGCGTGAGGGCTGTCCCCGCACTCTCAGCCCCAAGGCAGAGGGCCCGCAGGGTTGGACGCGGGCAGAGAGCGCAGGGCACGGTGGCCCGGGGGCAGGGCGAACCCGCAGCCGGGGGCAGGGCAAACCCGCAGCCAAGCGGGGCTGCGGACATGCCCTACAGGGCAGGCTCTAGGACCACGGAGGCCATGGGCAGCGGCGGCGTGGCCGGAAGCGGCGCACTGGGCATGCCAGTTCAAAAGAGCGCCGGGGAGCCAGGAGAGGGGGAGGAAGTGGGGGCCGTATTAAATCGGAACACGGGCCGCAGTTGGCCCACGGGCCGGACTTTGGACATGCCTGACTTAAGGGGACTGACCGTCAACGCATGTCTGAGAGGGGGTAAAGGCAGGGCTGGCCCACAACATTTTGGCACCTGAGGTGGGGAGCTCAAATTATGCCCCCCTGGCTTGGGCCAATACTTTGAAAGATCTCAATTCTCTGGGTCCTAGTGGCGCGGAATCCGAGGTGTTCACCTCATACTAAGGCCAACCCTGGGTGAAGGGGTATTACAAAACCATACAGCATCCTCACGCCCAGCCTGTTATTGCCTGGCTTCCTTGGAAGCTCTGTTTCTGACATTTAACTTTTTCCTGGATGTAGACAAAGGAAAGTAACCCAAGCCTGCTGTCACCTAGCTACTCTTTATCCTTCACTTTCTTATTTAAAGGCATTTTTCTGCCTTTACTTTCAACAAACTATAAGACCCTAAATAAGCTTTGCAAAACTTTCCAGAAAGTAAAGGCATTGTCTGCTTGTTTCATCAACTTTGAATAGTTCCTAGTCCTTAATGTCAGTGTTGAATTAGGTGTAGGCTTTACTAAACAGCTGTCTTAATGTAAATGATTCTAGGAGAGAGAGAAAAATAAAATAGAGAAGACTTGCAAAATTTTCAGTGGGAGTTACCACCAATAACTGCTCCTGATCATCTGTTTTCATCTCAGTGGCTCTATGTGAGCAACATAGGGAAGAAAGGATAAGAGACAGCAACAGAAGTCAGGTGATCTGACAACTAATCCTGACTCCTTCCTCCATTCCCCAAAATACACTTATTGTGTCAACTGGAACAGTTCACAGGAGCTATGGATGCTGGATGCTTCAGAAGATTAATCCCTTAAAGTTCTTAAGGCTTTGTTTTTTCAATGGGGGGGAGGGTAGCAAATTCTGAAGTCCCCGCTATTCTAGTAGGTGGAAACTTTAATGAAAGGTGTATAGAAAAAGTGATGAAGTTAGATCCTTACATGGGACATGCTATTATTGTTATTGAGCAAAGCATTATCATTGTTATTGTATACCTTGCAAAGAATCCCAAGGTGTAAAAAAGTTCCTTTTTGCTCCAACATGCAAATACATGACATGGTAATCATGTGACCAGAATAAACTAGAGCTGTCAATTACAAATGAATGATTAATCACATGATTAATTGTGCTGTTAAACAATAATAAAATTCCATTTAAATATTTTGGGTGTTTTACAGATATTCTTTGTTTCAGTTGCAATAAAAATATAAAGAGTATAATCCTCACTTTATTTTTATTACAAACATTTCCACTATAAAAAGGAAAAAAGCATTTCAGTTCACCTCTTGCACGAACTGTAGTGTAGTTTCTTCATGAATGGTGAACTTGCAAATGCAGAACTATTAACTGCATACAACAAAACAATGTAAGCTTTAGAGCCTACAAGTCCACTCAGTCCTACTTCTTGTGCAACCAAACAAATCAGATAAAAGTGCCATGTGAATACCTGTTATGACTTTTCTGTTAAATGACCAGATTTACTGCTACTATTGGTACTGTCATTTTAGGGGCTTTGTCTTTTATAGGCAACTGTCTTCATTCTACTACCAGCCCCAAAAAAGTGTCTTGATTTTTCCCATTTCTGTCTAGCCTTCCTACTTTCATTGTAAATAAAAAGCAGGCTGCACTGTCTCCTATAAATGTAGACAATCTTGTCTGAGTGATTGGCTGAACAAAAAGTAGGACAGCATGAACTTGTAGGCACTAAAATTTTATCTTGTTTTGGTTTTGAGTGCAGTTCTGTTACCAAACCCTCCTCCCCCCTACATTTGTAAGTTGCACTTTCACATAAAAAAATTGCCCTGTAGTGCTTTAATGAGGTACATTGAAAAATACTTTGTGTTTTTACAGTGCAAACATAAAAATAACGTGAGCATGGTACACTGTATTGTAATGGAAATAAACATTTGAAAATGTAGAAAAAACATCCAAAATATTTATTCAATTTCAGTTGGTAGTCTGTTAATTATCAGTGCAGTTAAAACCGCAACTAATCATGATTAATTTTAAATCATTAATTTTAGTTAATCATGTGAGTTACTTGTGATTAACTGGCAGTCTTAGAATAAAGTATTCATTTAACATCCTGTTTATTTGATGCAAATTGATAAGCTTAAAGAACCAGATTTCTCAGACATTATATATATAATGTCTTTTATCATAGGCTTTTCCTGTCCCATGTGTACCAAATACAGTCACCACTCCAACTCATCTGATTAAGGGGTTTTATCCATGAAAGTTCATGATCATATATATTTGTTAGTCTCTAAGGTGCCAAAGGAGTACTCATTTTCAAATACAGTCTAGCATTGCACAGGTTTCTGAGATGCTTTATTCATACTGTTGCCAAGGCTGAAGGCTAGTCCTGCAGCAGTAGAAGAGTTAAGGGTCATGTCCACTAATTTCTACAAAGCGTGACTATAATGATTTAGATTTAGTGGATGCTTTACAGGTAACCAATGCTGTCTTACCACAAAGTCACTTGGTCTAAAAACTAGGTAGAAATTTTGTATAATCAGTCAGTGATCCAGAAATGAGATCATATAAAGAAGAATTAATTTCTCACTTGTATGGTCCAATTTTTTTTGATTGATCAAAAATATTTTTGGACAAAGAAATGGTATCTTGCAAAGAAACACTCTGATACCTAATACAAGGGATAGTTTAGCAGTACCTTAGGGCTCATCTAGACTACGCTGAAGTTTCAAAAGAGGATATGCAAATTCTGTGGGAATTTGAATCTCTTCTTCTGATCTCACTTTTGAAACCCTCTTTTATGAAAAGCCATGTAAACCTCATTTTTTGGAGCTTTCGAAAGTCAGATTGGAAGAAGATATTTCAAAACTTCAGCGTAGTCTAGACATAGCTTTAGAGTTTAACAAAAAAATGTAGATATTATTAGCTTTCGTGGGCACAACCCACTTCTTCAGATGGAGTTTCATTCTTCAGATGAATGAAACTATTCATCTGAAGAAGTGGGATGTGCCCGTGAAAGGTCATGATACTACCTACACTCTTCATTAGTCTCTAAGGTGCTGCTAGACTATTTGTTTTTAAGTTTTTCTAGATACAGACTAACATGGCTATCCCTCTGAAACTTTTAATACAAAGGTGAGAACCTAAATTGTTCCAACACAGTGAAAGCATTGATGATGTCCAGTCCTGTCAGCAACAGGCAACTTTAAAGAGCTCCATATAGCCACTTAATTCTGTTGTGATGTTCTTACATTTGTCAGCTGATGACACTGTACAGATTCCTATGAAATAAATGCACTTTTGGTTTCCCAGATGTATTTAATATTTTTCCAGTGGTGTTGACTATAGTCATCTGAGTTGAATTATTGTTGTAATGCCTGATATGTAGCAAGCTCCTACCACTCTGAGATAGTGATTTCAGTATCATCGTGTATACAAGCTAAATCATCATACTTTAATTGAGTTGCCATTTTTTTCCATTAAATTATCCTTTTAATCACGTATCACTGTATTTATTGACCTCCCAGTTGATGGGAATTCTCTGGACAGTGTATTGGCTAAGACAAGGATAAGTTTATGAGTAAGATGCACCTTTTCTCTTCCCTATACATCTACAGACTGAGAACATTATCTCTGTAAAACTACTAGTTACTGCAGATCAGATGTGTGAGAGTCTAAGTTTTGCCTAGAATTTGGGTCTTTCATGTGTCAGTTTACTGGGGCAAGCTAATTTTATTAATATCAACTAGCTATTCATGGTGGATTAAAACTTTGGCTGAGAGAGAAATTATTTGTTAGAAGGAGAAATAAGTCAGCACTGAAACCTTGAATCTGCACATCATCAGATTCTGATATATTCTGATTTAAAATCTCGGAATTGAACTTATCCCTCTCGTTTTGGTTCTGGGACTGATCCAAAATCAGAAGTAGCTTATTTTCTACTCCTTTCTCAGATGTGGCTGAAATCTTGCAAGAGCACCTGATTGATCCCATGATATTTCAATCTTTGGGGGCCAAAATGTCACAGAGAATAGTTCTTTGGCCAGCATCCTATCTCTGCAGCTTATCTGTAGGGTCCTACCAAATTCATGGCCATAAAAATTGTGTCATGGACCATGAAATCTGGTCTTTTGTGTGCTTTTCCCTTATTATTTTACAGATTTCATAGGGAAGCCAGTTTGTGTCAGACTGGGAGATCACAAGGTTATTTTAGGGGGTCACTGTACTGCCACCCTCAATTTTGTACTGCTTTCAGAGCTGGGCAACTAGAGAACAGCAGTGGTTGGCCAGGTACCCAACTCTGAAGGCAGTGTCGTGCCAGCAGCAGTATTATACCATGCCGCCCTTCTGCATTGCTGCCTTCAGAGCTGGGTGTCCAAGAGTAGTGACTCTTCAAGCAGTAGCACAGGAGAGTGGTTATTACCATACTATGCCGGCCTTATTTTTGTGTGCTGCTGGCAGTTGCTTTGCCTTCAGAGCTGTGTTTCCAGCCAGCAGCTGCCACTGTCCAGTTGCCCAGCTCTGAAGGCAGTACCAGCAGAAGTAAGGGTAGCACTACTACAACCTCCCTACAAGAATCTTGTGGGGCGTCCATTCCACATTTCCTTTTTGGGCCAAGATCTATAATTGCAACATAATTGAATCTGAAATTCCACAGCCTAAAATAATGAAATTTAAGATTTTTAAAATCCTATGAATTGTGATATTGACTAAAATGGACCATGAATTTGGTAGGGCCCTACCTGAGTGGATCCAGATTCAACTGATTGTTCTCTGCTGGGCTAATCTGTTTTTATAACAATAGAATCTTCTTATTGGAATAGATGGAAACAGATGATAGAACAGCCTTGGTTCGCAAACCTATAACTAAAGGAGGAAACAGTGATCTCCCATCAGCTGGTTTTAATGTTATCAACTCTATCATAGGATCAGGAATAATAGGTAAATGCACTTTTCTTCCTGCAATTTAATTACTCTTTCATTTATTTATAAATCTCCAGTCATGTGAAAAACATGTTGTTCTCACATTATTTTACTGCTGTGACTATGGTATGGTGTTGGTGTCATAGTGCATTTGTATTGTGAGAATACTACATGGCTACGTCTACACTGGCCCCTTCTTCGGAAGGGGCATGCTAATTTTGAACTTGGGAATAGGGAAATCCGCGGGGGATTTAAATATCCCCCGCAGGATTTAAATAAACATGGCCGCCGCTTTTTTTCCGGCTTGGGGAAAAGCCGGAAAAAAGCGTCTAGACTGGCGCGATCCTCCGGAATAAAGCCCTTTTCCGGAGGATCTCTTATTCCTACCTCAAAGTATAAATAAGAGAATAAGAAATCCTCCAGAAAAGGGCTTTATTCCGGAGGATCACGCCAGTCTAGACGCTTTTTTCCGGGTTTTCCCCAAGCCGGAAAAAAAGCGGCGGCCATGTTTATTTAAATCCGCGGGGGATATTTAAATCCCCCGCGGATTTCCCTATTCCCAAGTTCAAAATTAGCATGCCCCTTCCGAAGAAGGGGCCAGTGTAGACGTAGCCCATGGGTCAATTGAGATCAAAGGCACCATTGTGCAATAATAATAATAAGTAATAACAATGTGCGATCTCCTTATCAGACCCAACAGAGATATCAAGTGCTGGTTGGACTTAAGACAGAACTAGGCTTTTTTCTCAAAAATGATCCCCATAAAATAAGTCTGATGTATACAGATAGTACAGTACTAGGGAAATTTGCATCGTTTGATCCTGTTTGAAGGATAAATAATAGATTTTTTTAACAGAATGCTTCCTTTAGAAGATCACCACAAATAAGTAGTAAGTATTTTAAAAAGCTTTTCTCTAATCATTTGTTTGTTTTGTTTTTCACAGGATTGCCTTATTCAATGAAGCAAGCTGGTTTTCCTTTAGGAGTATTGCTTTTAGTTGGTGTTGCTTTTATCACAGGTACATTGGAAGTGGTTGTGTTAATTAAGTGAAACTGTAACAATTCATGCAAAAACTTAACTTCAGTTGAACTTCATGCTAACTAAGAATATATGTGAATTAAGGCTTTGATATAAAGGAAAAGAGGTTTTTACTTACCTCATTAATCTTCTGAGTAGATTAGCAAGAGTAGATATTTGTGCTGTTCTACATTTAAAGCTTATTGTGTGAATTTCATTATGGAGTAGTTTAGCTTCCTAGACTAGAGTATGATGATTCAAAATGTAAATAAGGGTTATTCTTACAAATCACTTGTTTGTATTAAAAAGGTTCAATGTTAAATGAGGCTGATCTTCAGTTGAATTGAACATCACTTGTATTCCAAATGCAAAACCGATTGAAACTAAAAAGTTTTAAATGATCAGTTAAAAGTCTTAACTATTTTTGAGTAAGAATCAAAAGACACTTTAATCATTACCATAAATGTGAATAATACATGGTACAATCTACCAGTTATGTGTCATACATAGGAGTTTTTAGCAAACTGTTCTTGAAATGGTTAGTGTCAAGTGTATCTCAGCCATGAATATCTGTGAAATAAATTCTTCATTTAAAAAAACAAAAACCCTGGAAGTATACTATGATAGAGATAAGTGTGGCATGAGTATACTGAAAACCTGGGCATAATGAAGCATGTCTTTGCAGAAGTACACAATATTAATATAACAAGCAGTGAATCCTCCTTGGTGGGATAAGCAGTAACAAATAGCATGAGTCTCTCTGTCAAAAATCACTGTTATAGTAGTAGTTTTACACTGTAGTAAAAATATTTACAAGGCATGCCTTTGAGGCTTACAAATGCACTTAAACCTCTTCAATCTGAAGAGGAAACAGGGTTTGCCAGATTAAAGATTTTGCTAGGCCAGGGAAGAGGTGAGGGAGATGGGGTAGGCCATTTGTCTGACACTCAGCATCTTCTGCTGCTCTCAGGCACTGCTCCCCACCATTAGATGAGGTGGCAGGGGAAAAGCCTCTGTCAGAGTGCATTGCTATGCTGCCATTCCTCCAGCTGGGGTGGAGGGAGAGTGGCAGGGTGCAGAATCATTTCTGCCTACCAGGGTCCGTATTACAGGTGCTCCTGAATTAGGGACACTCAGAGTACAGAGGTTATAATGTATTACATAAAGGGGCCATGTGAATAAAGTGGTCAGGATTTGGCCCAAGGGCAACATGATTCTACTACTGAATGCCAAGAATTCTCATAATGTCTGGTGGCCAAACCCCAGAAAAACTATTGACTTCTAATGTTCCTTAAAATCCCTTCCAAAGTTTATTAATGTATAGATTAGTATGTTTAATATCCTTGTTTTAAAAAAAGATTGGTAAATACATTGTCACTAAACAACTTCAACTATTTTTTTTCATATGGTTTCTTTGTAAAAACTATTACTGGGAACAACTCTGTACTATTAGACTAAATAACCTGGCAGTGTAGTTCTTAAAATCATAGAACCTGAAGATGGAAAAGGTCTATTGCTATAATTTTGTACATTTCTTGTACAGGGCAAGCTCAGGATAAAGCATAATTAATGTTGTGCATTTCTGAATAACTGCAAGACTACCAATTATAATGTATGTGTGTGTATTGTATGTGAAGTCCACGTTCTTAAGGGACTTTCTCAGTTCTTTGACCTTATTAACATGCCATACAAATTCTGTATTTAAGAGAGTAGAAAAGTATCATGAAGAATTCATAAATTATATGTGAAACTTTACACTTAGCTGTTGACATTTTATAACTATATTGATCACTGTTTCAAACAAACCATGCAATTTTAGTATCTGTCAGAAGATGATAAATACTGATGCTGCTCACTGAAAGAAGCTAGAGGATATAGCATATAGATAACAGGCAGAGTGGCACCTGAATAGAAATAGAATGGGATGGCAAGGCAGAATTACCTGGCAAGACCTATCAGCACTTAGACAGTTATTTCTACTCTGTAGCTAGCGGAGTTGTGAAAGGTTAGCTAGTTAACCAGTGAAGGCTGGAGCAACTCTCCACTTGCTGTGGGCAGGAGGCTGGCCAGAGCAGCCCTGCAGCCTGTCCCCCTTTAATATGTTAATGGTTAACCAATAAAACAGGATTTTACATCCCTAGTAGCAAGTCCTCACCAAAACATCTCAGCATAGCCCACTGGAGTGCTGCTGCCCCCTGTCTTATATTAGTAACATCATAAGCACTCTTACTATACAGTGAATTGCTGGGAATAATTTTTAACCAACTGTTAGTGTTAGTTCAAGCTATTCTTTGGTAAAAGTGTCAAAGTATTCTTCAGAAATGGTTGAGGTTTAGTATGGAAATAATTTTATCAGTGGTCTCAATTCTTTCCTGAAGTGGTGTTTTCTTGGATAAGAGCATAATTCATTTTCATGTGCATTCAGTGCCTGGTCTCTCAGATAAAATAAATGTTTGTGTATAAACATTATTTGTGTCTAGTGAAATGTGTAAGTATAAAAATCATAATATAAATATTATAGAAATTAAATAAAAAAGAAAGGGAAAGAAAAAATAGGCCCATTCATACATACACCCCCAAGCTCTCAAACTACATAGCAGCCCATCAACCAATAATGGATTAAAATAATCCAGCACTCTGGTCTCACCCACATTTAGGGTTCCCATGTTTTCTCACTCTTCAGGATAGCGATGGCATATGCCAAATACATAACACCCCTTTGGAATGCTGGGAAAAATCTGCTGCCACCCTTTAGGTGGGTTGGGGTTTCTTCCTTCTTGATCTGTATTCTGTCTTTTGGGCAGGGTAGAGAGCAGAAGAAATCTAGTCTGCTGCTAGGGACCTATGATTATACTCCTTTTTAAGCCTACCAGTCCTTCTCTTCAGGAAGGCTGAGGTCTGTACAGCAGGAGGGAGACCTCAACCCTCACAGAGATGGCAAGAGGATCACCCCACACAGGCTAGCACAGTCTTGTAGGAAGGTGCTTCTCCTGCCACTCCTTGTGACCATTTCAGCTTTTCTCTCACCCCAATAGAGGGCTATGTGCAAGGATATTATGAAGTCCTCAACTTTATAGGTGTACTTTGGCAAGGGGCCCCTTCCCACATTCAGTGCCCAATGCTCTAGGAAAGGATGGGAAGCCAGACAAACAGCAGCCATATGAGAAGAGGAACGTCCTGAAAGCAAGACAAGCAGCAGAGGGGTGGAGGCTGCTTCCTTTCTGCCCATTGAATGAGCAGTGGTGGTCGGAGTGACAGCGGTGGTTGGAGACCTCAGCATGCTAGATGAATAGTTGCAGCTGCAACTGAAAATATCAGTTTTCTGGCATTGTTGGTGATTGGGAAATAGCATCTGCTTAGAGGAGAAAGCTTGAGGACCCTGGCATACATAGTTTTAGAAATGGGTCATACTGTTAGTACTGAGTAACATTTTTGTTTATATTTTTGTTCAGCTTTTTTGGTTAATCACTATATCAATTATAAAATGAGAGACATGTCCACTTAAAAAAAATTGGTGGGGCATTTGTCAGGGCCCGTAAGCAGAATGTGCTTCTGTGTACTCCTGGATAGTCTTTTGATCTTTGGCCTTCTGGTTCTAAGAACATGAGTTTATACTGCCTGACCTAAAAGACCCTGCTTTGTTAGCCAAGGCTAAATTAGGCTCATAAATTTCTAAATGTGATGTAATCGTTACGGGGGGGAAGCCCTGAGATCCAAGGCGACGGGGCACAATTTGTTTGGGATTCTCATGGACCTCTGATGGTTAGGGCCACAACACTAGGCCTGAAAATACCTCTCTTTCCTGAGGATGATAGCTGGGAATATTCACACAGTTAACTATAGTGTTTCTCTTTCTCTTTTTACTGGCCTTTTCTGAATGAGGAAGTAAGTGGGCCCTGCCCTCTATGTTTCTGTTCACTATAGTGGCTTTAGTTAATGATTGCTTTCTTTGCATTTTTTTAATACTTTGTAAACTATTTCTTCAGAACAGACATATAACATTACCATCTCAAATATTCCTTTTATATTGTTTTAACAGATTATTCTATTATATTACTGATTAAAGGAGGAAACCTCTCTGGTACAAACACCTATCAGGCATTGGTCAATAAATCATATGGTTTTATGGGATACCTAATTCTCTCAACACTACAGTTTTTATACCCATTTATTGGTAAGATAACTATAAAGTTATATACTGTAAAGTTATAATTAACTATCCTTTTTGCACTACCAGAACACTATAGAGGTTAAAAAATATTTGAAAATGGACTCACGAAAAGACTACAGGGTTGTTTTTTGTTTTTTTTTCAAAGTGGCCTTTTAAAAAAAAAAAAAAGTCACCTGCATCTAGACTGCCGCCGCATACTTTTGATATTAAATTGAAAGAATGCAGCGGATTTTAGACAGCGGTAAACCTCATTTTATGAGGAAGAACGCCTTTTTTCGAAAGAGCTCTTTCTAAAAAAGGTGTTCTTGACCACAAACAGGGCTTTTTCGAAAAAGAGCATCCAGATTGCATGGGTGCTCTCTTTTGAAAAAGCGGATCACTTTTTCGAAAAAAGTTTTAGCTGACTAGATGGTCTCTTTTGAAAAAGCTTCTTTCGAAAGAAGCATGTAGTTTAGATGTACCCAGCATGTATAGCAGGTGTCATTTAAAATGTGTTTTTGCATGAGCTACTTGCAGTAATATTGGTATCTTCCTGTCTTTAAGTCTGAGATACTGTGGAACTGGATTACTGCAGGAAGACAAATGTTCAGTTTTAGTAGCACCTGCTCTGTCTTGTAAAATCAACTACTGCTTCTGAACAATTATGTACAATAACTGATTTTACAAGTTACAGTATGTGATGATGCAGCCCCATACATTTGACATCCTATGGGCTATAAAGCTTAAACAAGAACTGTTAGATGCACATAATTTGATTTTTCTAATAGAAACTAGAAGTTGAAAGTGTTCTGTCAGTGAATCACTGCTGAAAGCAGAAAGAAATGATAAAAGCCTGCTTTTCCTTTTGAAGTGTGCTTGGCCACAAAATTCAACTGCCTTCCTCATCTGAATGGATTCTTTCACATTCTCATGTATATTACTTAATGCTCCCAATTTCAAGTTTATATCTCTGGATTTAATTTTTAAAACAAATGTGAAAGGAAATCTAAGAACTGCTGGAAACAGATACCTGTCGGGGCTGATCTAGACCAGTGGTGTCCAACCTTTTTTCAATCGCGACCACTGGAGCTAGGAAAATGTTTGCTGAGAGAAGAAAAAAAAATGCATTGGGAACATTTTGTTGCAGCCCCTTTAATTTAAAGTGCTGGCCTACTCCACTGCCACTCTCCCCCCACCGCTGCCGTGTGTATGTCAGGAGCCAAGCTGGGGAAAAAAAACCCAGCCGGTGGGGATCAAAGTGCTGCAACCTCCCCCCCCCCAGGAAGACAGCCACGACCCCCAAAGGGGTCATGACCCACGGGTTGCACACCGCTGATCTAGACAGTACTTGGTCCTGTCTTGAGGGCAGGAGAATGGACTCAATGACCTCTTGAGGTCCTTTCCAGTTCTAGTGTTCTATGATTCTATGAAAACCAGCCAAAAAAGAGAGGCAGCTGGAATGGGGGGCAATGATTTCAGCTGCATGCAATCTAAAAGTGCTTAGTGTATGTTCAGGCCCTTTTATCATATCTGATGTGTATTAACAAAGCAATCTTTCTTTTCTTAAAGCCATGATTAGTTACAACATAATAACAGGAGACACTTTGACTAAAGTTTTTCAAACAATTCCTGGAGGTAAGTGTTTATGTAACATTGGGGGAGGCGGCAAAACTAACTAGGTCGAGTGTTAGTCTAAAATAAATATGGCTCCCATTTCTTTTATGAATCAGCTACTGACCTTATTTATATATTTTTAATGTTGAAATGTGCTTCTCCTGTGCTCTAGAGCTCCAGTCCTACTACCTTATGATAGTGGACTCCTGTGCCAGGTCATATGATAGCTGGTGATGGCTTCAGTTTGTGCTGGGCATATCCAGCATTCTAGTACTTAATTATATTAGCTATGATAATTATCCAGCAATGTTGTTGATGAGTTGATTGTTAGGTTATATGCAAATTATTTATTTAGTGTTGTCAGTTTAAATAGTAACATTTCTACATAGCTGAACACATATTACAAATGTGATATGACATTCTCTAATATGATAAATCCAAAGTGTTATGGCCCTGTTAAAATAATTTTTTTAAATAGGAAAAATATCAGACTTCCCAACATGAGTGGTGAAACGGTACCAACCTACTCAACTAAGCAAACGACCTATAATAAAATAAATCAGAGCTTCACTTTGAGTTGCACATCAAATTCTGTCCCCTGCCATATGCAAATGGACCAAGACACACTATTTAAGTTTGTTTTTGATAGATGGATTACCCAGCTAAAACTTTTATGCTGTTTCAGACGTTGCTTTTGAGGGCTAAATTTTCTGTTGTAGGCTATATATGTACAGTTAGGATGGAGTTTTCAAAACCACACAGCTTTGGCCTAATTGAGTCCCACTGAAATCAATGTTAAAACTCTACTGATTTCAGTTGAACACTATGTGCTTTAAAAAAATCCCATCCATGATAGAGGTTTATAATATATATATATACATATGTAGAGTCAGATTTTCATAGGTGAACACAATACAGGCAGTCCCCGGGTTACGTACAAGATAGGGACTGTAGGTTTGTTCTTAAGTTGAATCTGTATGTAAGTCGGAACTGGCGTCCAGATTCAGCCGCTGCTGAAACTGACCGCCAGCTCTGACTTACATACAGATTCAACTTAAGAACCCCAAGCGTCCCCAAGTCAGCTGCTGCTGAAACTGATCAGCAGCTGATTCCAGGAAGCCCGGGGCAGAGCAACTCTGCCTCAGGCTTCCTGTAGTCAGCGCTGGTCAGTTTCAGCAGAAGCTGACTTGGGGACGCCTGGGGCAGAGCAGCTGGGGTGCTGCTGGATTGCTCCAGTAGCGTCGCTCCTCGGTGCTACTGGA